AGAAATAACTCAATCGACAATAGTGGTTGTGCCTTTCACCACGTTAATTCCAATCAATTCGTAATGATCGAAGTAGATTCGTGGCGTTATTGGTCACACCTTGGCTCTACAAAACAGAACAGCATATGAAACTGTTGCAAGGTATCAGTCTTCCATGGTAATTAGATATATAATAGAAAAACCCGTACATTGCACATAGTTAAGCCATATAAGTACCCAAAGTTTTATGTTGTTAAGTTCTGTTCTCCAATGAGTCTTCTTGTATCCTGGTGTTCTCCTGCTGTCTACAACGAGTCCCATTAACTGTCGATCAGCGGACTTCCACGCGAACAAGTCAAAGACGACCACTGAAGCAAGGAAGGTGAAATTCGACAGTGCCCCACCTCTATCTTTGAAGCCCGGCCGAATTGCTGATATGGTCACACTGAAAATGAACGCAAAAATTTTGTAGAACATCCTGGAGGCCAAGCCACGCTGCAGCAGCAGATGCAGATACATATGTTCACCGAGCAGGAGAAAATGTTTATAGAACTCACCAGTCGCATGGAAAAAATGGTGGTTGGCTCACGTTCGATCGCTCCAGAGTCTTTAGCCAACGCAGTCGAGTTCGAGATGAATTCGCTATCAAAACGCTTACCTGAATTGGTGTTCGATCCCGAAAATGGTTGTACTTTCGTAATAGCCATAGAGTGATTGGAACAATTAGAATTAATTCAAGTTGGAAGCAGCTTTTGTTAGGTGAGTAATCTGAGTAGTCCCTCAATAGAACTCGAGGCTGCATAGATGAAGAAAGATAGCAGGTTTATCACCGCAGTTTGATACTAATGCTAATGCAGATCGTCTCTGGAAATTCTTCTGATACAGTTTTCTGTTCTTGACTTCTTTCTCATTATTGTATGCTGACATGTACTGTATTTGAGTTTCCTTTCTGAAGTGATCTCAGTTCTGAAGAAAAACCACCTAAGGAGGTGAAAAAAATTGGAAAAAATGCCTCATCTACGATTACTTGGAAGACATATAGATCCACATCCAGATCTATAGAAAGCAAAACGCAGAATAACTCAGTTTCATGTTAAGTTTTTTCCTATGCCATGTGATGAGCATGAGACTCTGGAAAAAAACTAGGCAGGTAAAAGCCATTATACTTCTCGAAGGACGTTTTCTTGCGTTCTGTGACTGCCTCTGATGCAGTAGTCCATCCCGATCAACTAATCTTACAAGGGAAGGTTCCCAAGTTGAAGTGGCCATATGAAATGAAACTTGAACTGCTGTACGTATTTCCCGGCGCTTATTTCCAATCTCCTTTCAAATTTGCGAAACGATTCATCGAAATAAATTGTGAAGGTGGTTCCAGGTGAGTGCTTAACGCAAACGAGCACTTAAATCTTGGAAGCAACAGCGCTGACAGCAGTGATTTGGAGCAGTGGTAAGCGTGACGCTTGATAGGCACGAGACAATGGATCGGGTTTAGTAAGGGATGGGGTTTCCACTTTGCAGGGCGTTCTCCTCAAGAACGGTAGAACCTTTCCTTGTTGGTTTTACCGCCTTCAGTGGCCTTTTTGATGTCTGAGCTGGTCTGCTCCTATACAAATCATCCAATATGGAAGGCAGTGCCTCACACAACTCTGGAATCACTCGAATGAGTGCTTGAGAAACCAATGACTGTTAGAGCAAAAGAGAAATCACCCGAACCAGAAGTACAGAACTGATAGTAGACAAGTTATAGTGAGCTGAGAGTAGAGTCACGAGTGTGCGCGCAAAAGTTGAGATCATGAGCACCTACGCACCGTGGTGATACCTTTGAACATTTCACTAAAGGACAAATGACAAATGAAGGAAAAACTTTCATCACCTCCGTTTACCTTTGTTGATAGCTACATGATCCTATGCTCAAAAGTCCACATCAGCAACATTTATGTTGGTGAGTGGCACCCAAATTTGAAGTGCTTGATGATGATAAGCGTTTTGAACCCTCAGACCTCCAAATCCCATGCACGGAAGGGCTCCTGCTTCAAAATCACGCCAGTACTTTTCTATCAAGGTTAGGTCTGTAGTCGTGTATAGTAATGCAGAATAATTCTACAAAAGACCTGGACCAACGCCAACACGAGATGGGCAAGAGACGGTGAAAAGGCAAGACATAACTGTGAAAAAGCGGCTTCTAACAGTACAACCCTCATCCACTCCTATCAAAACTCTTAAGGCTGAAAATTGCGCTGCGTGCACTCTCCTCAGAGATCCCAGAAAAGTGGTGTACGCAGGTAAGCAAGGAGTCAGTATTGACATTGTACGGTACAGATGGTGAGCAAATCGCCTCGAGCATCAACAGGCCCGCTGGAGGTGTTAAAATCAATACACAAAGGTCACTCGTTCCTGAGAAAAACGCCACACAAAATGAAAACACCACATCCGTCACAAAACCCGATCCATGGTTTCACGCCTAGAAATCGTCACGCTTACCATTGCTCTGCACCACCGCTGTCAACGCTGTTGCTTCCATGTCTTAAAGGCACTATTCACGAAAAAATGATTTCGGGGATTTGCACATGAATTGAACTCGTCGCCCCCTCTGATACCATTTCTGCAGGAATGAGGTCGGAAAACGGTCTGGATAGGGCACAATAAGGGGCCGGAAAGTGAGCCACGGTCGCCCTCCGCCCCTCGCTAGGCTGACTACGAAATCTAGTTGCCGTTCATCACCTTCGCATTGGAGCGAAGTTGGTGAAAAATCAATAAGCTGGTTGCCAAATTGCCAGAGTCTGCCAGTTAGATTGTCAGGCAAATTGGGTGTGTTGTCTGCTATTGCAGACATTGCGTCGCCTTCGTGCACTCGCCCGAACACTCCCTTAACCGCCGTTCTTCAATGTGGAACTCGTCCAACCCCCCTTTACAGCTCTTTTCTGTCCCTTTCTATTTCTTTTTGTCCACCGTTTTTTGCGCTTTTTTCGTTGTTATCGCTTCATTCTAGAGTAGTTCTATCAACTCCCGTCAAAAAAAGTACCCTAATTTTATTGTAAACGGTGCCTTTAAGTGCTCGCTTGCATTTAACACTCACCTGAGAGCACCTTTATACTGCGTTCGGAGAATCGTTTGGCAAATTTGGAAAGCAGATTCGAAATCAGCGTCCGGGAATATGTGCAGCAGTATAAGTCTTCTTACATATGACCACTTCGCCTCTTGATCTCCCTTTGTTAGAAACGTGAGCGTCTCAGTTAATTGTATGCATATTAAGCACGAGGAAATTGAGTCCTCGGTATGCTGACCAGCTACGTGTGCTGGGGTCCGGAATCTTCTCTCCGTAAGCGGCGTCGCGCACACCGCACCCGCGCGTATTGCAGGATTGCGGTGGAAGATTGGAGCGCGCAATTAGTAAGGTGGGGAATCCTTTAACTATTTGAATTGGCTGGCCGCTCTCTTCATTTCCAATGCGGTCTCGATCGCCGCTAATAAAGGAGGAGTCATTCTAATAAATTCAGTCTAATGAACATGAAAAAGGAAAAGAAACAGAAAAAACAATCAAATCTAATAAAGAAATAAAGGCAATCAACAAAAAACAAATCATATCGATTGGCGGGAGGCGGGGTGAGTACGGTAGTTGCAGCATGCCGCAAGGGAGGATGTCGCAATCGGGGATAAGTTCCGTTACCTCGTGTGCTGTATACATCGGTTGTCCCACTGCGTAAAATGGATCATGCCCTCATTGTCACAAGAACTGTCGAAGTATCCCAAAAGTGGGCAACGTTGTTATGTCTCACGTTCTTGGAATCGAAGAAGGATTTTGCCACTCTCGAAGCAAAAGCGGTAATCCTCTGCTTTGTGACCAGTATGTTTCTATTTACTAGTTTAGAATACTTCGTGATTGCGCTCTACAACTTATCCTTCTACTAGAAAGTGCAAATGCGAACAGAGGGATGTTTGACAGGCTGATCAAGTGCAGAAGTTTATGCGTCACTGTCTTAAACATAATGCCTCTTTTAGAATGGGAACGCATGAGAAGAATGCATACGGTCTGCACTTACAAGGTCTTCACTTCGCACATGACATCAAGCTCATAACAATAAATATCTTGCAGGTTGAACAAATGCTGAAAGATATTGACAATAAAGAGAATATCTTGCAACTAAACCTGACGAAGACAATGTTCATGAGGCACAAACTAGTTCCTGATGTTCCTTTTACTCTCCAGGGTACAAATATCTCTCAATCCAATACCTCTAGACACGTGAACCTTGGTCGAAATATCTACTCGGTCAGCAGGAAAGAGCGGCATAGGAAGCGATCAAGATCACTTTTAGCGAAGAAAATAAAGAGCATCCGGTTCAGCACTCATCCCTTCTATAACAGATTGCGTACTTCCTGTTTTAAATAGCGTCTCAGAGGGTTGGATTCTACGCAGGTAAGATGAGCATGCAGTCAGTGTTGTTCGGTATGCTCACGAAACGGTAATGCTCATAGTTCCAATGCACGCAAGTGCAGGCGAAATTTAGAGATTCGAGGTGAGGAAAAAGAGCAGAGATGCTCTTTTTTACGTTAAAGGTTCGCGAATTAAATACATAGTTCGGACACGCCAGAGAAATCCCTGAATCAATTTCATGAGCTGTTAAATGATTATCAGAGCAATTATTTCGCCGATGGGCAGACTTCTTCACGGAAGCTCAGAACGGAAGGAGTGGTTTCCTGTCCCACGAGCTAAAATTTTCCTATGAGCTACATTGGCTGCCGACAGGGACTAGTGAAGAATCGACTGGTGCCCGTTTAAGTTAATCGGTGAACAAGATGACAACAATGAAGTCCGTTGAAACTTTGCAGAAAGGAATCTTAAAGGCAGGGATAGCCGAGTGGATAACAGGGTAGGCTCACGTCTGCACTTAGGGAGAGTGCGGGTTCGATACCTGCCGAGGCAGTTCCATGCCTTGCAAAAAATTGCAAAAGTGGTATCGGTACCAGCGTCAGGCCCAGGTAGACAGGCCGGCTGATGGAGAAACCTAGTCGCAACAAACATGTCTGAAGTTCCAAAAAATATCAGTGATAAAGCTAGAATGTCAGCCGAAAAAGGCGCCCAGGACGCCCGCTCGAGTTCTGTGGACAGTATGCGAGGGCTACCGAGGAGTGAACGACCTCGGCCAAAGAAGTTAGTTCGTATTGGGACTCTAAATGTAGGATCGCTTACTGGGAAATCCCGGGAGGTTGCTGATCTTATAAATGCAGGAACATCCGAGTCTTATGCCTTCAGGAACCCGTTGGAAGAGAGCAGAAGGGAAAATCAGGAGGGGGTGTCAAACTCTTCCACAACGAAAAAGACACCAAACGAAATGGTGTGGACACGGCAGTGGCAGAATCCCTCGATGACTTTGTCTCCGCCGTCAACAGGACCAGCAGTCGAATCATGGCTGTGAGGATAGACACGAAGGAGGGGTACTGGAGAATAATGTTAGTGTACGCAGCACAAGCCGGCTGCCCCGTCTACGAAAAGGATGAGTTCTATCTGAACCTTGACGAGGCCATCCGATCAGTTCGGGAGGGGGACTATCTCACCATAAGAGGTGAACTGAATGGGCACGTCTGCGTACATAAAGGTAGAGGAGTGGGAGTCAGAAACGAAGAAGAGAGGGTTTCTGCTCTGAAAACGGCCCACGACTTTGCAGTGTGCAGCACCTTCTTCGCGAAAAGGAAGTCTCAGAAGGTAACCTACAGCAGTGGAGGGAGACCAACGGAAATAGATCATGCACTAGTAAGAGGATCGCCCCTCAAAACTGTAAAGGACTCATGGTACTGCCTGGAGAAGATTTGGTTCCACCACACAAGCCTCTCCTAGCAGACATAGCCATCAATCTTTTCAGGAAATCAAGGACAAGAACGGAACGGAGGATCCGGTGGTGAAAGCTGCATCGATCCGAAAAAGAACACCTCAAAGAAAAGCCACTGAAGACTGGACTTACAGATCGCGAAGGGCCGATCCAGCAGAATCCGTGCAAAGGGAAGGCTAGGAGAAACTCGAGGTGTTGTCCAAGGGGACAAGGTAGCATGGTTCCGGAACGATGAAGTCCAAGGAGTTGTGAAGCATAAGAAATCGGCCTACAAACACTGGCAAAAGACACGAACCTCAGAGGACCTAGCTGCCTACAGAACTTTTAAGAGGCTCGCCAAGGCTGCTGTGGCGAAGGCAAAGAACACGGAAATGGACGCATTGCATGAGCAAATTGACATTCGAAAAGGGAAGAAGTTCGTCTTCCGCTTGGCGAAAACGCGTCACCGCGATACTGGGGACACCGGATCAGTGAAGTCCGTCAGGAACAGCGAGGGTGTAATCCTGAAGAAGCCTGGTGAGGTCAGACGTAGGTGCAAGAAATAATTAGACAGGCTCCTTAACGCAGAATTCGCCCGTAAGAACAGCTCCCAATTAGAGGCAACGGCCGACCCCATCAAACTCTGGACAGAGGATGAAGTGCGCAGTGCAATAAGAGCGGAGCAGCATATGCCTGGAGCAGCAGCACTATCTTTCCCATCTTTAAGCAGAAGGGGACGCGATGGAGTGTTTCAACTACTGGGGGATCAGGTTGACTGCTCACACGATGAACTGTGCGAGCGGCTGGTTGACTCAAGATTGAGAGAATCGGTCTCAATCTCGCAGGAGCTACATACAACGGATGTCATCTTCATAGCGAGGCAAGTTATGGAGAAGTATCGAGAAAAACGCAGACCTTGCTACCTAGCCTTCCTCGACCTGAAGAAGGCATTCGACCGCCTCCGGTCAGAGGTCCTCTGGAGAGCGCTCCGAAAACGAAACATGCCAGAACATCTCACCTCCCTGGTCAAGGACATGTACGATGGTTCCACAACAACAATACGCACTCCACACGGCCAAACCGGAGCAATAGATTTCACTGTTGGTACACAAGGGATTGACTGTGCGCTCGTTCCTCTTCCTGCTCGCGCTGGACGTCATTTCAAAAGAACTCATAGAGTAACCACTGAAGACCATCCTCTACGGTGAGAGATCGCTCTTATAGCGGAGAGCAAGGAAGAACCCCAGGACAAGCTCCAGAAATGGCAGAAAGTGCTGGCGGAAAATGGACTCCGCTGAACGTGGAAAAGACCAAGTTCCTCAGCTTCGAGGAAGGGACGGAGTCAATGGTCGACGGTCACGGGGAAGCCATCGAAAATGTCCAGGACTCCCGATACCTGAGGTAGCGTTGATGGTAGCGTGGACCAGGCCGTTAAATCTCGAATAACCGAGGCACGAAGAAGTAGAGGGAGTCCACCGGTACTCTCTGCGGCCGTCGGTGCTCCAGGACTTCCAAAGGAAATGTGTATCGGACAGTGGTGAGGCGCACGATGCTCTAACGTTGACTCGCAAGTAAAACCCATGAAGGACAGCTTCACGCCGCTGAGATGAGAAGTGCTCAAATGGGCCTGCAGCTGGACGCGGCTGGATCGGGTCGGCAATGAGGATCTCAGAACGGCTATGCAAACACCCTCAGTTCGACTAAAGATGAGAAAGTAGCGCGATAGTTCAGGCATGTACTAAGAGGACCACAAAGCCCTCCGATAAAGGATGCAATTTAGTTCGAGGCTCAAAGTAAGCGAGCACGGGGAGCCCTAAAGAAGAGATGGCGGGACTTGATCAAGAATGACCTCGCCGGAGCTAAGGTGACGGCAGAAACTGCCGTAGATAGAATGAAATGGATACGACCGACAAGAACAGCGGACCTTGCGACGGTGCGGGATTAGTGCTAGGGAGAAGAAGAAGAAGGAGGACCTCAAAATTCCTGAATAGTCACATCACTTCCACTTCGAAAGACTCGTCCAGTTGGAGACTGTTTTATTCTTGCACCTCATACAGAAAGCAATTTTATTGCAAATTCTGAAACTTCGATGGTTGTTTGTAATGAAGCCTTGTTTAGGTCTACGGAGAAGATAACTACCGTGTCGTACATCACCTACTACACATCAGGCCAGATACATATGCAAATAGGAGCTACATGTATTCCCAGAGCTGATCACACAATAGTTGGAGATTGCTCATTTTTCAGCATTTAAATATTTTTTTTTTAATTTCACTACGACTCGTGCGAAAGTGTCAATTGCAGATGATTGCAGGAGGCAATAACGAAGTACATCAACTGACCGGTTTCTCACCAAGAACTTTTCGATCACTCTTACAAGGTAATATCGGATAAAGCTCAAACAAAGCAGCATGTTCCAAAAAATAAGCCTCAAATTCCAACATGTGACCCTAGGAAGGGCAAAGGGTACAAGAGCATAAGTGATAGATAACGAAAAAGCTTCAGGATCGCGTCCAGAAAAAAATAGAAAGGGCATTAAGGAGAACACAGCCATGATGTTGGCATAGAGTCACAGTTCTGACTTATATGACAGGAAAGATGAGAAATGGAAGCATCCATGGTAAACACAGCTTCCTGTCTACAAGTTATGATAACGGTAGCCTGTAAATTATATCTGAGTTCTTGATCTATATTCCATCACATACATTCCAAAGACATATGCATAATATCTAAGAATGTTGTCATGATCGATCTCATTCCTGTTAGTGTATAAGCTGCTTGAAGTGGCCAAAATCGAGATGAGTTGTTGAATGCTGAAGTACCTATAAAGAAGAGATGTCGCGTAAGATAACCCTATGGTGAGTAAAATTTCTATAATTACTGTGTTATTACACGTAATATTATGTTTCTAAAGCCAACCTTGGCGGAGCGTCAGCTCAATGAATGGCAACAGCTTTACACACAATGTCAAACAAAATGAAAAGGGAAAGTGGATTTAACAAGCATTGAAAGCCGAAAATTTTCTCGTTAGCGTTAGATGTGTAGTGGTGGTTTATATTAGGTTGATGCATAATTACTGCGGATTTTTTCGTGACTTTTTCTGAGTTGAAAGAATTCGAATATTGGATTCGAGTTTTTCCTAGGAATGATCTACTTGATTTCCTCTACTAAAATGTACCTCGAAAACCATCTACATATTCGCGAAATTAGGCTCTACTACTTCGAGAAAGGTTGGAGGGTGGCAGAGTCATTCCGCGATCTTAGTAACTTTTCGGCTGTGGAACAATCAGCGAAAGCCAACCAAGAAATGGGATCTGCTCCCGAATCTGCTATATTCACCAGCAGAAACTTCTATGGATTATCTCGTCAGCCGTTCGCTGAAAAAATCTCTAAGGAATAGAACTTACGTCGATTTGGATGACTTGATGGCCGATGTCAAGGCATGGATCGCAATCAAGGATCAAAACTTCTTCACTTTTGAAATCCGACTGTCTAGCAAATAGGATGCAGTGCTTGACGTAGATGGTGGATAAGTTCCGGAGTAGCTATTCGAACATGTTTTTGTTCAGTATTTTTATCGTTCCATCAAATAAAACTTGTCGAAAAAATCCGCAATAATTATGCATCAACATAATAATTACTTATTATAATAATGATGGTAGTAGGTTGGCCGGAGTTGGGTGGGTGGAGCAGAGCTGCTGTTAGGATTGATCAACCCTGAATTGTCAATTTTCATATGAGCTACAAATACCCTAAATAACCTCTCCACAGAGGTTTTGTAATAATTCTCTTCGATACACTATTCACTTGTGAGGTGCTGTGCCACTTTCCGACAGGTGTGGTGCGATTCACGCGTCAATATAATGAGGTCATCGGATAAAACGAGCTAAAACATCATGCCTACCATCATAATGGATGAAATAACAATTTAAAAGTATAATAAATAAAAAAATGACCAACTATACACGTTTTCAGAAGGGCTGCGTTTTCTAGGATCAAAAAATTTGAAGTTATTCTTATTTTGAACGTTTGCCAAGTAAATTGTTGACCCATGAGGTGGATTCTCAATCTCGAAGGGGCTTCATTGCCATAGTGAAAAGATTTGCTCTAATTTATGGTGAAGCTGTGGTCTACTGCGAATTTGTTTGGTCCATCTCAACAGGAAGGTACTGAAACGATTCTGCTCGCGCGAAGAGTTTTAGTGTGGTCACGCGTAAATCGCGCGCCCTCTAGCGTCCCACTAATCACGCTTCAAGCCGCCGCTGAGAAACCTGGTACATCCATGTCATTTGGGTTCGCTTATGTTGTCTCACACAAAATCGCGTGAATCGCGCCCCTCCCCCCTTTCCGATAAGTCCAGAAGCTCCAGCTTGCGGGGAGAACTTCTTCGATTGATGCCACTGCGAGTAAAGGAAATTACATCGCAGATGGAAAGAGAGGCGCAAAAGGCTGCAGCAGCAACATGAGGCATGGATAATGGTCAGGATATCCTGAAAAATAAAATGGTCCGGCGGGGTATAATTGGTAAATACAATATAATGGCTTAACGGTAATATTCGAACGAATGGTGGTAATTATCTCAATCAGATGCGGCTACATGTAGAAGTAACGACTGATTGATCAGCTGTTTCTGCTGGATTCTGAAATTCTTCGTCTTGTTCGGCGAATCAACTTTGTTTATTTACACTTTTCCCGTGTGATCTAATCGACTCCTATTTTCTCAACTTATTCGTTACGGTTCGTTTGTTTTACGGTTCTCTTGTTTGGCTTTTTTAAGGAGTGACTATAACCTCGCCAAAATCCTTACTTTATGTATACGAAGCGATCGTGTTTGTTTGCTTGTTTGTTTAATCGTTTGTACGGGAAATCGATATTGCCTGTAGAAACCCATGCAGAAGTGGGGCCAGGTTTGGGATGGGTGGGGCATGGGACAAGGCCAATAGAGTACATGTGAGCATGCAGCGGGGTGGGGGCATGCACAGTTGGGCGGTGTCTCAGTAAAATGATTGGATTAGATTTCATAACAGCCTAAAAAATGAGCGAAGGTGAGGATTGAACTGAATGAGACTCACCGATGATGGGCGGAGTCTTCTCGCAGTGGGCGGTACTTACCACATAAGATCATAACTCGATTCGACGGAAGCATGGGGGCCAAAGAAATAAAGGAATTGAGCAAGTGCTCATGCGTGGTGGGCATAAGTAAAGATGTCGAAGCTCCGTCCACAATGGGCGGGACTTGCATTCGGATGGTAGGTCCTTTTTTATACATAACTCTGTTTAGAACGCTCTATATTGTGGAAAGTAAAGGGTTAGAAACTGGGGTGGTGTGGCAAGGTTGCGGGGCTAAGACCAAAAGTTTATAGCTCTGCTTGAAAACGTTCTGAAAGGTGGGAAAAGAGTGGATGGAGGTTCTGGAACGCATAAAAAGCGGTTGGAGGTATTGGAGGGAGACGCCCAATTCCTGGATTTAGCGGGATTTGCACTAAGGTGGGGGTGGGGTTAAGATCGAAACTTCATCACTGTATTTAAGAACGTTTTGGAATGCGGAAAAAAATGGTTAGGGGCAGCTGAAAGAGGGTGGTCAGTTTTTTATTGTAGAAGGGGTCTGCACTGAGGTAGACATGAAGAACCGCTAATAATTCTGCTCGAATGAAATACATCGAGTGGATGCACTCGAAGCGGTCAAGTCTAGAAACAACTATCTTATTTTGACACATTAAATACTCCGCTTAATGACTCATCGCAGATGAGTTGTCACGGACACACATTGCATGCCATAGCATGGCCCGGCTGGTTCTTCATAGTTGTTTATTTGAAGGCTTCCCAGGATCGGACAACGGGGAGCACCAAATTATCTGTGATTTCCATGTTTTTTCACCTAATAAAAATGTCTGCTTATAAGCACGTCCCCCGATGCAGCGGCATGGATCACGCTGCCGGAGGAGGATGGGTAAGTGGATCAGCCCCAAATGATTTCGTTTTTTTTCCCAGCATCTAAGACTCTTTGTTCGTCGGCTCTCCGAATACCCTACGGCAGTGTATTGGCGAAAGTGCTTCGCTAGGATGTGAATGCGATTTCAGAAGCAAAGGAAATCTTAGCTGAAGATAGACGGAGCTGCGCGTTTCAGAACGTGCCTGTCCATACACAGCAATTTGGTGTGCATTTTCGATAGACATTTAGTTACTATTAGATTACTACCGTCCTGAAATTGTAACTCACTGATTGATCTGGGGTCATCAGAAGTTAAGAAATTAAAATTGTACAACATACCTTCAATCAATCCTTTGTGGTATTCCAAAACTCGTCAAGTGAAATAGCTGACACATTGTGGAGCACTTTCATATTCGGGCGGTCGAACAATTCATTGGTACGTCTGCTACGTAGAAAGCTTCTATCCCTGTTATAGGAAGAAACATAGACATTAAATGCCAACGCTAACTTACTAAGCAGCTCATGTTTTATCAACGGGGTGATTCATGGCAAAGCAAATCTTGTCAAGTCACACGTAGAAAGCACTTTTCGAAGCAACAATGTCAAAATTCAATATATAGAGGATACAAGCACCATCTCCTTGTGGAGACTTTCACTGTGTGATCTTACATACTCTAAGGATAACTCACCTCGTGTTGATGCTCCGAGACATTGTCTCCCGTATAGATAGTGGAGATAATACTCGTGGAGGCTTCGCTGAAGCACTTGGTGTGGATGAATGATTTTCATCTTTGCGGTGTCGATTATGAGAACGCTGCGAGTCGGATTCATTAACAAGTTCTTTGGGCATGAATGAAGCAACTTCTGCTCGATTGTAGTGCATAGTGGCATGCAATGAAGACATCGGAGCCAGACTTGAATTGGCCTCTTGTCCGAAACCTAAAATCGCATGTTTTTCCTATTCTTGTAAGAAGACAATATACAAGAACATCTCCTTATTGACATGTATCAGTAAGTTCCGCGATGTATCTCATGTCCTTTCAGATATATGCACTACTTCGGGATATGCATGCTCCGGGAGTCGATGCACTTCCCGGTTGATTTACGAAAAACTACCGTAAAAAACATGAGTATTTTTCCGTAGATGCGTATTATTTGAGTAGTGAATTTTGAGGAACGGGTTATTGTTGTGATTGTTTTTTGTTAATATCAACATTTTTTGCTGACATAGCATCAGTGATCTCAAGGTGGTTTTATAAACATTCCATTCATTAAATTGAAGTTTCATCAGCATTCTTTAAGACAATCGGGATTTCTTTGGTACGAACGTCGGCTTCAGTTTCAATTTATCTGTTTTAAAAACCTGCCCCGAGGTACCACATCATGGAAAACCGGCAAGACACGTAGACGGCAGTACTATCGATCATATTCACAAAACTCTTAAATTGTCGCGAGAATACAACATGACGTTATGTCCTCATTCATCCATTTGGAAAAGGCCTTAGACACTGCTGAAACAGAAGCTGACGTTGAAGTTCTGTCGACCAGGGTGTTCTTACACAATAAACAGGACCACTGTGTGAGGTCCTCATCAATTTCATAACCAGGATCCCACCATTCTGCAAGTAATCATCGTAAATGTGCAATGAGGGTCTGTGGCAAAAGGATGATGCCATTTCACACCAACTTGTCGGCGAGGCGCTCAAGAACATCATGTGCTGTCTGAAGTAGGAAGACGTGAGTTTGAAGTCGGACGGCTGTGTTTTGGCTGTCCTCCACTTTGTAGACGACATCATGTTAATACCACCGTATATCGAGCGATAAAATCGATGCTAGCTGATTCTTGTAACCCTTGTGAAAGGACCGGTCAAGACAGAACCTCAAGAAAACGATGAACACAAAAAACGGACTGTCTTCTGATGCTAGTTACAGGTCTAATAGTACGAACATCTCTGAATGCTCCTGCTTCGTGTACCTAGGTCGAGGAGTCAACATAATGAATGATCTAGCTGTGGAGCCAAGCAGTAAGGAATGGTGACGTTGGAGCATTATAACATCTCAAGGGAGCAGAGCTTGAGCTAAAGAGCATCCAGCTATGCTGCAGTTTTTTCGACATTACAGTTCTTCCTGCCTTGGTCTGAGCATCAGAAAAGGCATAGGGTTAGCATCATCCAACGCGTTGTGGAAAGCATATGATGCTTGCAATTCCCCGATACACACAAACACACAGAAGAATTCAGAGTTCCACGCTCAGTCAATGAAGAATAATCAGGGAATGACGTCAGCTGATACTTATGCGATTTTGTGGTGACCATTGAACCGGGGCGATTATTGAACGGATCTCTCTAGTCAGTCAAATACAACGACGAAGGCCAGGCGACCCAACTTCTCAAGAGCACAGCTGCCTTTGTAAAGTAGTAGGGAAATGCCAAGGCAAACAAATCTTGCGTCCGACGCTTCTTGACCGGATGAAGCAAATGCCACCAAACGGGAGCATCAGCGAAGATAAGAGGTGACATTGCAGCAGTGGCGACAAGTCGGCCTCGGGAAACGATTGCCATTACTCCTACGGAACTGACCATAAATTTTGGGACCACATAGGACCAGCATTCTGAAACTTAAGTCGTGACACTTGTCAGATGACAAGGTCATTCAATAACTCACACTCGAGGTTTTCATGTGTGAAGAAAAATTCCTCATGATTATAACCAAGTATTTTCCGAGGAATCAGAGATGGGCAGAAAAATTTTAGGCATTTGATTGATGTGCCGTCTTTACACTTCTACAATATTGTTCCTCATCTGATCAGGATTGAAATGGTAACAGTGATTAGGGAGACGAGTTCCTTTTTTTGCGAGTTCTTCCTACTGTGGAAATCCTTCTGCTCCGGATACTCCGTGTCCAAGTACTATACCTCCTCAACATACAAAGCGCTATTACAGGACGATCAAAGTTTCAGGAAGAAGAGGAGGTAAAGTGGAAAAATCTCAAATTAGCATGAGTCGGGATAAGGCGTCATCAAATACTCCGCTTTCTTCGCTTCTCTGATGGTTTCCCTAAGGCTGAATTCGAGCGAAATTCTGAACGTAAATGTTGATAGCTACGCACCCGAAAAACTCTATTCTTAGTTTTTTTACTTTAGAAATGTGAGTCCCAGAAATACGACCCAAGTGGGAACTTTGAGCGAAGCAGCATCCTGTATACAAGCATTAAGAATGTTCCCATGTTCTTCTCGAATAAGATTGTAGATGTGTGGATGTGGACATGTGATGCACACGTTAGCGTGCGTAGCTCACTGGTGTATCCCTAAGGCGTTGATCAATTATTAGAACAGTACTTTTCGATAAGAGTCGCCAGATTGACCGTACAGATACAGTTCTGAGCAGGAGCTATGCTACCTTTTTAAAATTACCAGGTCAGAAATGCGGATTGAATGCAGTGAGGGGTCGAAAATTTCGTAATCGCATTTTGTATGTTCCAACTAGAAGTGTCATTTCGATAGAGACACACTATGCTCAAAGTCAAAGGCGAAATACTCATTCAATTTAGCTACATTCAAGAAGCAGGAGTCGATGCGAAAATCGCCTCTTCGATCTGCACAATGATGGTTGCGTATCGATGAAACATTGTTTACTTTAACTGCTAATGTGCTGTAGTCAGATATATAACATTCTTATGCTAATACCTGAAGCACCTCGACAGTGGTTCACAGTGGATGTACCCGACTTCGCCATGCGGCGCTCAGAATCTCGAACGATTCTACTGCTCTCCGCGATGTGAACTCGGTTTTGATCCCTATGCTTGAAACATGCTGAAAACAAATTTAGGAATTAGTGCAAAAACTTCCACAATTGAAAATATCTCCTTCCACCGTACCTTGACAAATGGAAACAGCAATAGCAGCGATTAGGATAAGAACCATAAATATCAGGAGCCAGACGGTCAGGTCTGCAATTACGACTACTGATCCTTTTCGAACACGCTGGTGTTGGGGTCCAAGCACAACCGTGGACCAATCTAGAGAACCATCTTGTAGATCATGCATACAAAGAAATTCCAGAATTACGCACTCTTTTTCCTACAAAGTTTATGAAGTTTACGACATGAAGGTGTTTAACATTGATTAATCCCATGGCATAATATTCCTACACATTCTGAGTGAATTTGGCGTCGTAGTTAGTTTGAATGCTTGCTTGGCTCAAGCAGAGAACTGCTAGGCCAACTTCAAAGCCAGTCAGCGCTTTAATCATCCTAGTCAATTGTGCTACCAGAGAGGCGCTCTCAGAAGGATTCAGGGCTTGTTGACTTCGCTGGATGTTGATTCGGAATTTAGTTTCTGAACCAACACTTTTGTAATGGGTCCCATTCGGTGCCAATTGCACTATATTCAATGCACTACTTGTAATAGTGCCTAATCACGCAATTTTTTCACATATTCCATTCGTTCTTCCATTCTCTTCTTTTTGCTACATAATACAATATAATCACCTGTTCCCTCGTGGTTACCTTCACCCAGAAAAGAGCACAAGGGTTATAGACTTTGAAGGAAACCCAGCAAAAGGACTAAATGTCCACGAGCTTCACGTAATTACTCACCGGACTGGATGAAGGAATAGGCTGAAAGTCTCCCACAGCTGATTACCTCGACCAAACTGTCTATGGTGATTTACAGCTCCAAAAACCCTTTGTGATGAATTTGGAAGTCACCTGGTGAGCATCTCCATGATAGAAGGGATTACTCAAATCTACACTAGGCTTTGCTTGACAGACGCCGCCATCGCTTTTAAGTTCTACACGGAAACAGGTTAACGTCGTTACGAGCTAGATTCTGGGTTCATTCGCGATTATTAAAAAACAAACCCTCTATACGGCTATCGACGGATGCGGTGCATTGGCAAGTGGTACACTATCCACACCAAGGTATCGTGTTCCGGAGTGATACTAGTTCAGGCCAAAAAAGCTTTCTTTTCTGCGGAGTAGGTTGATTTGCGCTAGACTCCTCTTAGAGTATGAAAACACTGAATTCCGCACGCGTGGGTCGTTGTATAGGCCACGCACATACTCAAAAGTTCAAAAGCATGAAGCGCATAGGCCACGTACCGACTCAGTAGTTCAAAAAAAAGAGAATTCAAAAGTTACCGACGAACGCTGTACTTATGACACTCCAGCCGGCATGCAAAGCTGTGCTGAAAAGTGATAAATAAGGTTCGAAAGAAGAGTGGAGAGCAGCAGTTCTGATCAGAGCGCCAGAGACGTGATAGAGCATCCTCACCAGATCCTTGCGACTGAAAGGCTTCCCTTTGTCGACCTGACGGAGCAGTTCTTGCATCTCGATGTTTTTTGTAGAAAAGCCATTCTACTTACCTAGCAACCACCTTACGCAGAATCAATGTGTCTTCTCTTCAAAATTAACCTTGGAAATTCCACACACAGTTACTACTATGTGGGTGAAGACCGTACAGTACCTCGTTCCAAAGAAACAAGTTCAAAACATCTCCCTTGTTCCGAAGAATCGAGTTCGGAGCATCTCAAGAGTCTCCGCCAAATACGATCCCAAACTCGTCTTTTCACACGCGACCTGTCGGAATACAATGCACCGACGTAGTGAAAGTAGTCAGTCGTAGTCATAAGGCTGTCTCACTGCCTGAAAGGGAAGACGTAGATACCATTTGTAGCTATCGCTTGCTCTACTTGCCCGGTAAACTCCACACACCAGTCATTTTCAACATGATGGCAGAATATTGGATGAAGACAGCTATGCCAGCTTGCGGTGTTTTGAGGCGGTTAAGTTGATCGATCATAATTGCACTATTACATGAATAATTTAAATGCGGTGTGGATAGAAAATGCTGTTATTTCTTGCTCCCCTCGATTCGAAGGCCTGCAATTCCGAAGACACAAGAGTGGTGATCTAAATGCTAGGATTCCTCCTTTCTTCATTTTCTTCTCTCCAGTTGACTCCGCCTAGTTGCACGGCACGCTACTCTTTCCATTTGTCACCGCTTCCTTCGATCTACAGCATCTCCAGCTCTACAGGAATCTCCAGCTCTACAGGAGCTGCTCACTGACCGCTATGAACGCGATGATGTTGGAGTCCAACAATTGCCCCCATTTCTGATCTTGTCCGGCTCCTCCAACAATAAGCCCATTTCAACACCCCAGGAGGAGTCCGACCTTTGCCAGTACGCTTTGTCATTTCTGCAGCTTGTCCGGGAGTTTTTTCCTACTCTACGCCACAGAATGCCTTCTGCTCTTGTGGTTAGATAGACGTATTGCTAATTCGGATCCATCGTACACGATCATGACCAGAAACATCGAATGATTTGGGGTGTTCTGCTCTCAGAGAGCTCTTGGAAAAACTGGTCGCGGTAAGATTCGACAGCTTTCTACAGTTTGATAAAGGCTCGGTGGCAAGGTCCACACCTTTCGATTCTTCTTCATCACCATTCTGGTCATGGAGATGGCATATGCTGACATGATCCCGTATTGTTCATGAGAGATTGTGACAAGTGCCCTTAATCTTAGGCAGACAAGCCGCTCGTACAGCTCATTGTATGCGCAATCATCACGATCCCACGATAAATGGGACATTCTTCCAATTCCCTTGTCTGCTAGTAAACTGGAGCAATAGTACTATTTCTTCGATCATATAGTATTTGTTCATTTATTTATTTAGTGTGCGTCGACCGACGCGCTTCTATAAAACATCAGTTCTAGCCAGGGGTAAAACAGGGTCTGATTGCATAGTAACAATAAACTTATGCAAATCAAATCTAGATCCAAACAGACTTAACGGATAGTAACACAAGGAAAAAAACTGATTCTCTGAAGCACTTGATAAAGGATAAATAAAGGATAAAGTTTTTGGCGTTAACCAATCTCGTCTGAGGGATGCGCCCCCGCACTCGACTTCCATTCAGAATCGTAGTGGCGTAATGAGTGCGTATGTGGCCTATACAATGACTTGCGGTGGCCAGCCGATGTACAAGTCAGTGCTTTTATCCTCCCAGACGAGTCTGGTACCAATTCACCGACCCTTGAGGGATGGAAGGCTTGGTTGGCCTAGGCGAGCATCGATCCGGGATTCGAACCCCTGACCGTGCGTGTGATATAGTGCGCCACTTGCCACCACACCACCTCCGCCCTAAGCACTTGATAGAAATGGAAAAATATAGAAAGAAAGGTAGGAAAAAATTGAGCTCATTTGTGTCCCAACGAATGAAAAAAAGGCACTTGCTGCTTGGATGGTGGTTAACTGCTCGTCCCTAGCCCAATACGTCCAAGCGACACCGTGTCAGCTCCAGCCCGCATGCGCGTGAGTTCGGACACGATACCCTCCTGCACCAGTCGGCTATGGTGCCCAGTCGCCACCTTGGGGGTCATAGGGGCAAACCGCAATTCGAGACAAGGGTATACCGACCTCCCTCGTGGAAACGGAAAGCTAGGGGAGTGAAGTGTACGACCCACATGCATGCGCCCGGAGCCTTCAACCAGCCACCAGACCATTGGTCCATCAACAAGGAGAAAACTTCCATCTAAAACATCAAGTAGCCGGTCAGAAACCTAGAATTGTTGTGGAGGATAAGATCAAGACAAGCTCAGTGAGAGAAAGGTCAGGATATTGGAACGAACACACTAAAAAACTGTTTGGGGAGCAATCATTCGAGTGATTCATGAAACGACTAAATGAGGATGGAGGCAAGCTCGGCCTCAAACAACGTCAGGAATGCCTAGTGACTCTAGAACATTGATCTTTCTAATGGCTCTTTTGAATTGGTTGGAGTTTGTGAGTTCCAGGNATGCTGAAGAACCTCCCATTCAAGCTCTTGGAGTGCTGTTTTGACGACTTGAGCAATATGGGGCCTGGTGTTGTCGTGGAGCAAAATGACTTGACCTCGTCTATAAGGTCTTTACAGCCGAATAGCCTCATTTACACTGTTCAGCTGGGCAATGTAGACTCATTGTTGACAGTGGCGTTTCGTTCGAGCAGTTTCCCAATGCACCATGCCTACCCAGTCCCATCAAACGCAGAACATGACCTTTTTTTGGGTGAAGATCTTGCTTGACTCTCGGCTTCGGCGCCTTTCCTGGGGCCACCCACACCTCCCAGTAGACACACCTAAGACACCTCCCCCGTACACACTGCATATGTCCCTGGCGGTTTCGGCTGTTTTTTGACCTCGACGAAAAGCAAAGAAAAGCAGATGTCGAAAATGCTAATTTTTTCTTCCTGGATACTCCATTTTCAAGCCCGAAAAAAAGATGAACAATTGAACCATCCTAAAAACAAATAAAACAATTTTGTAGAGGAGAAGGAGCTCTTTCGAATGAATGCATACACTTTGCTGAAAAACAAAATAATTCGTTATAAAATAACTCTAACGCAAACTCTACGAACATATGTTACAACCCAATAAAAACGTCCAGTGAGTCGACGGCTTAATGCGAAGTTCACCTTTCAGAAGCTTGAATGCTAAAATTAAATCCGATTGAACCCGTCTAAAAAAAGAAAAAAGAAAAAGGAAAAAAGTAAAGACTTTTCAAATTCAATCTCTTCAGACGTTCTTGATACTCGGGTATGGCCTGTGGGTAATTTCTGGAAGGAAAGACTCGGTAAAATAGAATCCTAGTAAAAGTTCTCTAATTCTTTCTATTTTTTGAACATCACCCACTGAAGAAGGACTCTAAACGGGACTACAGTACTCTATTACGGGTAAAACATACATTCTATACAGCTTAATCCAGACTGTAGTTTTGGAACTATGCATATTTCTGAACAGCATGTGGACTAGCTTGAGTCCCTTTTCGGAAACAGTTTCTATGTGAGCGCTCCACTTCAGGCTTTGGGTCAAATTCACTCCAAGATCTTTTGTACTATCACACTTTCTTATTGGAGTTCCATCAGGGAAGCAGACTTCCAATTGGGGCAGTCCTAATGTGAGCAGATGATCTTTCTTCAGATTGATATTGAGTCCCCATTGGGTACACCAATTGTTCATCTTCTTTACGGCCAGATTGGGAAGATTTTGGGCGCTTTCTTTATCATTTTCATTGAAAGCAACGAATATTTTTATATCGTCAGCATAAGCTGCTATCTGAAGTCTAGTATCAATTCGAATATGGCTCACGAGGTCATAAGTGTAAGTGAGAAAGCTTCCTTTAGCAGTTACAGATATCAAAAACAGGGTGAGCGACTCAATGTCATGCTCTACATCGCCTTCCTGAATCGATATCCCATCAGTACCTACGTTTGCCGAACTCCATCTTTCCTATTGCCCGTCGCACGGTATCCTCTGTCGATGCTACGATTTTATCGGCTGTCGTTTCTACAATATTTGTAGGCTCTCTGTGCCTACCTGCTTTTGATGTTACTGAGGAGCTGTTAAAACTCTCTCTACAAATGCGTTCGACCGCGAATGAGTTTTCTGATGATACACTAATGTCCGTCGGGGGCACTACTGCTGCCCCGATGTCTTGACAGTCCCATGCCATTTCTTTTGCTAGCCGAACAACATTTCTTCTTTTTCTCGACTATCGAGTTCCTGGTGCCAGGCGTCCAGCTCCGTGTTCTATCCATTTGCCAAGGCAGCCATGACGAAGCCCTTACAAGCAACTGCACGCTTGTTTCTTATTCTTAACTACCGATAGACTTTGTCGTTCCAGAACCGAATGCCCCCTCTAAATCAATCTCGAACTCTCCTTAGCTTCCCTTTTGCACACTTTTACATGATCTGCAGAGTGCTACTTTTAGGGATTTGAGACTTCCCCTCTGGTAGCCTCCATTTGAAATCTTCCTTCTGATTCTAGTACAGCATCCACAACTGTGCTCCTGCTCGGTTTCAACTATTGCTTTCTCAGCGTTGACAAAATTTATGGTTGTTGTCCTAACAAGAACCTGTGTTGCGAAGTCAATTTTTTGCAATGCAATGCCTTGATATCTTTTACATTCTTGAGAGATATCTTCTCACAAGCACATTGTCTATTTCTGTTCTTTCTATTTCTTTCCCCTGCCGCAGGAGGCCACCTTCTGGCAATGTGTCTTTCTTCTCGAGAAGAATATGCCTCAGTCGACCATGTCATGGCGTCGGCCTGGTGAAGCTTTATTTTTCCTTCAAAACATCTGGCTCCTATTCTCTACCGCCATGGATACTTTCTAGACCTCTTCCTCAGTTCCGACTGGACACTCAAATTTCCCACTATGATGAGGTAGCTTCTCTCCAGAACTGATCTAATGGATTAGTCGAGGTAAATTTTGTCCTTTTGCTTCAGAAGCAGCCGGCTTGCGCTGCCTACACGGATAGTATAGCTCTTTTGCGTCTATCTTCACATCAATGATTCGTTCGCTTACCCTGTTGACAGCGGGGAGAGGATCCTGGAAGGGCTTCGAAACTGCTAGGACCACACAATTCCGTCCGGTTTCTCCATTGTAGCAGAGCTCGACATTTCATTGCTCTTCTCTCTGCTTCTTTCCTTAGTGTCTTCCAGAAGCATAGGATGTGGAAGCTCCTGTTTCTCATCAGGCGGCATGCTCTCCGAATTTCCCAATTGGCGCTACGACGTTCAGAAATTTTATTTAAATGACCATATTCGGCCAAGGTGATCTCTTGCTCGGAAGCCGCCGCATATTGTCCAATGACTTGGCCACGAAATCTGCGCGACAACTCAGTGTGACGTTTTCTTCATATTTACATTTGTTGTGGCGGATTTCTCCATCGGCCGCCCTCTCAAATAAGAATAACGCCGGTACCTGCACCTTTTGCAACATTAGTAGATTTGAGTTGGTTTTGCCACGGCAGGTACCGAACTCGCTGCTCTCCAGCTCCTTCTGGGTAAATGGTGCGGACATCAGCCTGCACCCTTTAGCAGTCGGCCATAATTGCCTCAATCTCTGTCCTACCTGGTATGCACATGCTCAATATGAAAAAAATAGTTTGCGAGCCTTACAAGAAGTTTGCAAGCGGAAATTCTCCTTTTTACAACAAAGCCATTGACAAAGTGCAGTGAGAGGTCGAGCAGGGCTATGCAACCTCGCCCAAGCTTTTCAGTGTCGCTCGCAAAAACATATGTGTCATCTGGAATGAGGAGTCTTGGCAGTTGAAGGGAAGGCCGCTACTTACGTCATTTCCGCTTCGCAGACGACGTCCTGCTTATAACAACGAATATCGGGCACGCCGAACGAATGTTGACCTAATTTGCCAGCGCTTATGGAAAGATAGATCGACGAATGAACCCGACGATGACGATGATGAGAAACGGAAAGGTTGCGTCCTTCACGGTAATTAGAACGAGATTTCAGAATGCTCTAATTGCGTTTGACTATCTTGCACAGAGGGTGAGCAGAGAGAAATGAGAGCGTAGAGAGCATCAGAACGCATTGAGTGAGTATTGAAGAGAAATAATATCTGGTCTCGCTCACATGTTTTTGGCACTATGGTTATTTCTGCCTTGTCATACGTCTCAGAGATTTGGACACTACAGAGCAGGATTGGCGTGCAGTCGGCGTCAACCAACAGTCAACGTTTGGAAAGTACATTGCTAGGTTTTTTGATACATGCAAGTGCAAGAAGGAATCCGGAACCCCTATCTCCACGTCAATCAAGGAGAGTCCTCTGGAGTATACATATTTGCGGGTGGCAAGGACAAATAGAGACGTGACGAGCTCTCGCTCGAGCAAATTGAAGTGATAAAGAGAGGTGAGTCTGTAGTACCCGAGGAAGACTGAAAAAGATTTGCTATGTCGAAAACTGCCAAAAAAGTTTTTGATGATCGAAAATAATGTGCGAGAACTGTCGCTTTTGTTGGACAGAAACGCCCGACCTCGCTGATTGAGGAACCTCTCGTTCTGCATTGTCGTACAATAGTACCTTTGAGCGAATTTGGAATTTGCCTTTTGGTTTGAATGACACTTTTATCAAAATTTGTTTAAATGACCGTAAATAATTTCATTCTCCATCATTTTACCCAGTTCCCTCTTTAAAGTTCACAAGTAGTCCTAAGCCCATCCCTGGTGAAGGCATCACTCGATTAGGCTGTAATTGTTAGTACCGCTGTGAACTAAGTAATAATTAGGATTTACAACAAACGTCACTTTGACGGCCAATCAAGCTTTCCTTTCTCGCAATCCATGTATAATATGGAGAATGAACTACGGTGAGATGAAAGTCAATATCTGTGAAAGAGAAAGAGTCGAGCCAATTTATCATCAATGACGATTTCGTAGGGTTACTACCCATTTCCTGAATGTTTCATTATTTGCATCATGAGGATTAAAGATAGGATCCCCCGCTGACCTATCCCCCCCCCCTCCCGCTTCCCTCGCTGACCTACGCGGTGGGTGAAAGTGCGGAGTGGAGGCGTCCGCTTTACCGCTCTTATCGATGTAAAAACTGGACTTTGAAAATTTTTCCAGAATTTCATCATGTGCTCCTATGTTAAGTTCCAGTAATTTCTAGTTATGCAAGGCTTTATATTGACCTGTTTGCCGCTTCGCGTTCGGGACTGTGGTTAGGTAGTTGTCGAGGGAATGGAGAGATGGGGGCCGTCTCGCTTCAGTCCCCTTATCTATAAACCCCAGGTCACGGTTAAATTCGTTCTTCACGCGTAATGTTGCCCAAAGCAAGCCCGGTACATTAGATCTGTATCACTGCGTTTGAACTAAGAACAAGGACTCGCTCAGAGAAATATCTGCCTAGCAAAAGAGAGGCAACCTGTCACCTTGCCATATGCTCTCGTCTTTACCACCAGATGTCGGCTTGTATGGTCCGAAAGCTCTCGCCAACGTTTTTCTACTGTTCGATAACTTTCGCTTAGAGCTTTCATTATCCTTTTTAGTTATACTTATATACCAAAAAATACTTGTCAAAAAAAAATCAAACTTCAATAGCACGTCTGCATGCCCACACGGCAAAGAGTGGGCTCACACGTGTTAGAGCCTGGCAAGCTACACGTGGTTGTTTATATGCCAAGAACAGTAACAAAAATGTGCCTCATTCCCCTGAAACTGAGGGAGCCCTCGATGCAGCGGCGTTGGGTAAGACAGCTCGGCAGAGGCTGCTAAATTTTTAGGGCCACGAAGGGCTGCATGAACGGAGAAGGACTAAGATGGCGACCTGTACTTTCAATGCACGAACGCTCGCGTCGGAAGCATGCATCGAAGATCTGATGATGCAAGCCAGGAAGATCAAGTACGACATTATCGGACTGACCAAGACGAAAAGGCACTGCCCGTTGCATGCCACTTTTGAAACTGATGAAGAACTGTTCCTTGGAACATGCGACAGCACAGGCGTCGGCGGTGTAGGTGTCCTCGCCAACATGCCATTGGTCATGAACATTGATTGGTATGAAAGCTTGACAACTCCAATCGCCGTTTGCGATTGAGAAGATGTGGCTCAACCCCAGCTCTAGCAATCTTTCTTGCTACCAACATCGAGCTACGACAAAGAGAAGCTGAAAGCGTTCTGTATGGATTGGAGAAGCTCTACAAAAAAAACCATACTTTCTTCAAGGTCATCGTCGGTGATTTCAACGCCAATATTAGCTCCTGAAGAACGGCTGAAGAGCTCCTTATCGGTACCCATGGAATGGAATGGAAGGAGCAGGGTGAAAGGCTGTCCGAGTTTCTCATTTCAATACATACTAACCATGGTAACTCGATTTCCCAGAAGCCCTCTCATACGAAATAGACCACATCATCTTCAATCGGAGGTTTTGCTTGACTGATGTCGCTGTTGTTAATTCTACACGAGAACGGGCCATCGTCCCCTCCGCGCTAGATTTTGTTGCTCAGACCGTGGGAAGAGTGTTATAAAAATTAAGGAACGAAGCCCCAAGACTGTTGTCAACCGGAATCACTTCGCTTCATTGGCGACTTTGTGGAAAGATTCTGTCAGCGACAACATCGATGAAGAATACGATCGGCTCGTCGAACATCTTCACGATTGCGTCAGGAAAGAGACTTAAAGATGTCAAAAACGTCTGTCTTCGGAGACTCTTAAGCTTATACGCCAGCGTAAAATCGCGCGAGCTGCAGGCAATAACCAGCTGACGTCCGAACTTGCGAAGCTATTCAGAAAAGCGAGAAAGAAAGATCTGAAAGTGAGTAGAGCAGCAGTTTTGACTGAATCCGCCGAAGCTGGAAAGAGCATTCGCAAAGCCCGTCGGAGCTTACTCAATCATGAGACCGAGATGACTTCTCTTCGTCGTCCCGACGGAACAATCACTGCACTTCGAAGGGCAATAGAGGAGGTCATCTACGATTTCTACTCGGATCTCTTCGATAGCCACGTCTACCTGCCTACCCACCATCTTAGGCAAGACGAATATATCGCTCCTTTAGCTCTCCCTTCCATAATTCGACATCCCATCACATCGATGAAAAATTGTACGGCATTCGGTCCCGATGGGATCGAACCAGAACACCTAAAGAGCCTTCCATGAATTGTCGTCAGAACTCTGGCTAGGCTCTTCACGCGTGGGAAACTGGCAAGACTCGAAAACTAGCAAGCCCATGTTGGTGTGCAACAAGGGAGATCCCGATGATAATAACAACTATAGTTCAATCTGGCTGCTGCCTGTAATCTACAAGCCTTTTACACGCGTCATTTCGAATTGTATTGGCAGAATATTAGATGAGGGACAGCCATGCGAACAGGCAGGGTTTTGGGGAAGGTTCAGTACAGTTGAAATATTCACACTCTTACAAGACTCATTGAAGTGTCGAGAGCACAAAATGCCGTTGTGTTTTACTTCCATCGATTTGGGGAAAGCCCATAATACCATCGAGACAGAAGCGGTAATCGAAGCTCCGGGCAACTAGGGTGTTTCTACATGATATGTATGTATATAAGGATGCTTCGTGAATTCTACAACAACTTCACGACCAGGAATTCGCTATTCTATGAGGAAGTCACCATCAACGTGAAGAGAGGGGTTTCACAGGATGATACCATTTCGCCCAAACTTTTTAGTGCCGCTCTCGAGAACATCATGCGTCATATGGAATGGGAGTGAAGTTGGACGGCCGCTACGTATGTCATATCCGCTTTGCAGGCGACGCCGTACTTATAACACCGAACATCGAGCGGGAATGAATGAATGCTGTTCGAGTTTGACAGTGCTCGTGTAAAGATCGGCTTGAGACTGAGCTTAACGAAGACAATGTTCATAGAAAACGGATTGGTACCTGATGCTCCCTCCATGCTAAACTGAACGACTCTCTCTCTAAATGCTCTAGCTATGTGTATCTTGGTCGGGATGTCAACATGATGAAAGACCTAGCTAGGGCGGAGCTGAGCAGAAGGAAACGCGCCGCATGGCAAGCATTCAAGTTCATCGAGGGAGTAGTGAAGAAGACAAAGAACATCCGGCTCCGCGCTCACCTTTTCGGCACTGCTGTGTGATGATAGCGCGATGGAGGCGAAGGAGCTGCGTGGGTCGGTGTTTCCGAAGTGGAAAAAGGCTTCGAAAAATCGTTAAAAGGGGCTGGACGGGAATGAGACCAAAAGAATGAAGAAGAGTGGGGCGATTGGACGAGCTACTCAAGGTGCGTCATTGCCTACGCGTGGGTCTTGGTGCAAATATATGACTACGGTAAGCGAAAATTCATCCGCTTATAAGCATAAGTGAACAAAAAACCTAGTTACAGCAAAAGTGGCTCACCTTTTTCAGCCTTTTGTGTAGGAAATTAAAAAAGGAATCGCGGCAGCAAAAAGAATAGAGTAGGAGAAAATAATGGGAGGAAAACATAGCCTCATCACTCGGCGATCAGCTGATTGTGTGTGGGGCCTAGACGAATATTCGCCATCTGTATCGTCTCGACACTCGTCTAACGCGACATCGATTGAGAAGCGGGAAAGCGAATCAAGACAGCAACAGGGCTTCCACTATACCCTGAGCGTCGAGATTATGGGAGCGAGAGGGACCCTCCTACCACCCATGAGGGCCACTGAGTATTTCTAAGGGAAACTCATTAACCATTTCCATCGTGAGCTGTGCCTTTAAACCTGAGCATACATGTCAATTATAGATTTTGGGTCTTCCCACATTGAGCCCACCTAGCCTCCATTTGAAGTGTCTACTGATTTTCTCATAATTTTAGGATATTTCTGAATCTCGCTGTGGATTGTTGAGATGTGCACTTTTCACTTGGGTGCACGTCCTACGCAAAGTATGCTGTGTTCCGCTCAAGCACGTCTTAGGTTTATTACGTACGTCCCTCATTTACTGCACATCTAATCTCTGTCCGCTTCCACATGCTAGCAAGCGTGTTAAAGTTTGCTTTATTTGGGTAACGCCCATTTACGGGGATCGTGCGGAGTCTTCCAAGAAGCTAACCTCATGTGTAACTCGTATGTGTGCTTTTTGAGAATCTCAGCCTGTGCTTCATTAAGTAGTCACCGACAAACAGAAGGCTACAAACAAACGAACAAATGAACAGGCACATCAAGTTTGCGATTCATGCATTTTTAAGATTTCCAATCATCTACAGGGTCGAAAAAAGCTCTATGATTGGATATCACTTGATAAAGATAAATAGTCGTCTGCACTCATCCTGCGCAACAGAACGACCCGCTCTTGGCTGGATTGCATTGCGGGGAGGTGAATCAGCGGACCTCTTATGACATTTGTCGAAATTCGGCTCAGTGGTGAGAGGTTTAACTAAGCTTAACGTTACTTTCGCTAACTCGAATTAGTGAGGAAGAACGGTCTAGGAGCTTTTATTCGGAGGAAAACACGTTTTGCAAAAGCGAAAAAGCATCGCACAACTAGACAGGAAAAACAATTCCTCTATGCCACGGTGACCTTTGTGGCCTTTGCGGGCAACTGCGCTTATCAACTGGCACTTTCTCTCCATGCTTTGAGCATGCAAACTTTGAACGCTCACAACTTTTTGGCAGACTCATTTAGTAGCTTTAATTTCCCTATTTGTTTTTAGGGGCGGAGGTAGTGTAGTGGCAAGTGGCGCACTATATCACACGCACGGTCAGGGGTTCGAATCCCGGATCGATGCCCGCCTAGGCCAACCAAGCCTTCCATCCTTCCGGTGTCGGTGAATTGGTACCAGACTCGTCTGGGAGGATAAAAGCACTGACTTGTACATCGGCTGGCCACCGCAAGTCATTGTAAAGGCCACATACGCACTCACTACGCCACTACGATTCTGAATGGAAGTCGAGTGCGGGGGCGCATCCCTCACACGGGATTGATTAACGTCGAAAAACTTGAACTTTAGACTTTATTTGTTAATAGCTTTCCAGGCCCTTTCGATATATGTAGCTAGGTCTCTATTCAAAGCTCCATGAAAACTTGAAAACCTTCCCCGGTAAGTTTAAAAAAATTTCCCATTAAGAGCAAGTAAGTGATCCCACCGTAGAGTTTCGAATCTGCGCTGTAATTAGAAAAACTGCTTCATCGAACCCGCGGGACCCGTGGCTATTTGCTTGACCCACACCTAGTCTCGGAGTTAATAGAAGAGAGGATCGAAACAGTTTCGAACGGTCGAAACAGTCAGTGGATTGGAATTGGGAGCTGCTAATTGACCTACAGGAGAATTCGGTGACAACATTAGAAGAATGGAGCAGGAACTCTGTCGCATCCACGTATCAATATGTATCTACATGTTGATCCTTACCCTGCGGTTTCTAGAGACCCCGGTAATGATTTCTAGATATTAATAGACGAACAACTTTGTTCGGTTTCATTCAGGTCCCAGAAGTGTACCTCCGGGAATCTCTTCACTTCAATCTAATGGGTAGTCGGATGAGTCCAGCAATTTGAGTTTTTCTTGAAAATCTTTCTTGCCTTCTTAACCACTAAAAATCAATAGGTATGTATGTGTACCATCGACAGCATATTGTCATTGATCAGGCAATTTGCGGATCCCGCTTGGATTCCTGAGGTTTTAAGAAAAAAAACTTGCCGATGCGTGTCTCGTATTTGTAAACTTCATCGAACTTTTTATTTCTGAAGTGATTCGATAGCAGCTAGAACAGGTGATAATTTGTTGGATCCGTATTTCTTGAGTGCTGTGAGAAGGTCAAAGAATGCCATCCCGAGCACTGAATTTTTTTTTGGTCTCCTTCGCAATGTTTTTGGGGGAGTAGTGGCGTGGGAGAAGTGGACTTCCCGTTTCTTCCGTAGAGCTGCAGCAACGCGAACCAGCCTAGCAAAGTAAATTTTGGTGGTGACAGTAAAGTTTGGTGCCAGCGACTCATAGTGAACGATCACTTCCGAATCCCACTGATCGCTTGGCATTGCCCTCTCAGGTTGGGGTTCTGGTATACGTCGCCGGTGACTAAGTCGTCCAGCCATGCCAAGGTGTCGGAAAGTCAACAAATTTAGGACTGCATCCCTCCTATTTGTAGACGGTGATCACTCAGCTCATGAGGCCTTAGAAAGTGATGGTCGTGCAGCTTGCTGTCCTCTCAGATAGTGGTTTTCCAGTCTAGTCAGAGTCATCGTTTTCAAAATGCGGCACCGACTTCTTGCCATGCTGTAAGAGACGACAGTGGACGAACCATCGCATCAAATATGTCCCTTGTCGCAAACTAAATTGACGTTCTTTCCTGAACTCATAAAGCGCAAGCAGCCTGACCTGCTGTGCGTCGATATACTCTGTCAGCTACAACCGCTGCGGAATGCTACGGCAGATATGGTGTGAAAAGCGCATTGACCTGTGCTCACGTATTTTTCGCAATGAATGTTCTAATGCATTTCGCGAAAATTTCACGACGTAGAAATGCTAAAATGCTTGAATTCTTTCTTAACAGTTTGATATTTAGCAAAGCTGAGGAGGCGAACGAGATATCTGACTAATCCACAAACTGATAGAACGAATCGTTATTAATTAATGCACTGCTAGCCAGCAACAAAGAAAGGCATTATTTGAACAGTATATTCGATATTAACTCTGACTACATTCTTTTCCCCACTACGCCCTGGTTGCAGTCTGGATGGGTTTCCTATTTCAAGGGTCTTCTCTGTTCTTTGTCCTAGTTTCTAATAATTTTATGAACTTTAATAAGAGATGACTTTTTTGTAGGACAAAAGGCTACTAGTCTACTTTCTCTTTATGTTTCAACCAACACTGTTTCTATGTGAGCACAGTGGAAAAGGGTCAGGTCATTGATCGAACTTTCGCTTTCCTTCTACTCAATTTCAGCCCAATTTCGCCTGATAGCTGCACAGTAATTGTCTCTGAGTCTCTGAATGGTGCAAGTTAGGAGAATGATAATTAGTTTTCTGATTCAGGATTAATACATGTCTCAAAAAGAGTGTATAGATAATCGAGAAATTGGAGAATCAGACCGAATGCTTTAGCGATTGCTCTATCGTCGCTCACGATAACATGCGAACTTTCGTCCTCTCATCGACTTACACAACCCTGAAGATTAGCTCTTTGTAAAATTAAGATGAGCAGATAAAACGAGATTCCTACTCACTCTCGCATAATTATAAAGAAGACGGCTGCATTCTAATTATCAGTTATTATTCAGTTATCACTTTGTTTCATTTCTGCAGCAATATCCACGCTTTATGCTGCAACTGCTTCGTTTTATGGTGAAACTGCTTACTAGTACTTCCAAGCGCATGACCGCTTGAGCTATAGATAAAAAACTTTGGACCACTTTCAATTTCTTGGCGACGTCGATTTTTCCGAAACTTAACCGAACAAGGTGGTTTCGATGTAGCAAGCCTTTACACAAAGGTTAATGAATTTTTTCCGTGAATGTTTCATGCTATATGAATGAAAATTATCAAACCTGTTGGACGGCTATCTTGCGTCGTTGCCTCTCTTTTTTCCAAATGGCGGCTAGCGAACTGAGCACTGTTCAAAAAAGAGAGAAGCGAATAGTCGGTCGACTACTATGCAAATCGACATCGATTGATGAATACTGATAGTTGCCATTGTAGTTTTCCGTACCTTTCTTCATCCTTCATTATTCGAACATTCCGAGAAGGCAAGCCCATAAACATTCAGACAGTGCACAATAAGTGAGCATTAGTCAGCATTGCGGGATCAGTCTTTATCGGTATCGTTACAGCGGACTTCCATTTTTTGGGTTGTCCAGAAAGTCTCCGTCGATTTTTGAGTCATCTTTGAAAGAAAATCTCTAGGAGATAAAATCCATTCATCAAACAACATATCGCTTATTCTGATCAGTAACGGTTCGCCGCTTTCCCATCAGTCGCTTTATCCCACTTCCATAGAAGGTTTTGGACTTAGAATCGAAAAATCCTTTAAGGTGCTTTTTGCAGTCCTCTAGTATATTGAACGAATTTCCATTCAAAAGATTTTGCAGATTCATAAAAAAAGGTAGTCTGATGTTATTAGTCAATTCTTCTATGCCATACAGGTTTTTAATGGTGGAATCT